AAAAATCAAATACAGTGGACCCTCGCCTAACGAATGCATCGCATAACGTTAAATCCGCCTAGCGATACATTTTAATGCAAAAAATTTGCCTCGGCTAGTGCTAAAAAACTCCCTCAATGCGATTCATTCGAGACGCGTCCACGTGCGGCCTGAGCCCACCTCACTTGTTCCGTGGGTGCCAGTGTTTACAAGCCAGCCACAGCGGTCGCTTCTAAGCATACAATCGGAATATTTCATATTATCACAGCCTTTTTAGTGATTGCACCTGCAAAATAAGTCACCATGGGCCCCAAGAAAGCTTCTAGTGCCAACCCTACAGCAAAAAGGGTGAGAATTACTATGGATATGAAGAAAGAGATCATAGCTAAGTATGAAAGTGGAGTGTGTGTCTCCGAGCTGGCCAGGTTGTACACAAAACCCCAATCAACCATCGCTACTATTGTGGCCAAGAAAACGGCAATCAAGGAAGCTGTTCTTGCCAAAGGTGCAACTTTGTTTTCAAAACAGAGATCGCAAGTGATAGAAGATGTTGAGAGACTGTTATTGGTGTGGATAAACGAAAAACAGATAGCAGGAGATAGCATCTCTCAAGCGATCATATGTGAAAAGACTAGGAAGTTGCATGATGATTTAATTAGAAAAATGATTGCAACTAGTGGTGATGTGAGTGAATTTAAGGCCAGCAAAGGTTGGTTTGAGAGATTTATGAATCGTAGTGGCATACATAGTGTGATAAGGCATGGTGAGGCTGCCAGTTCGAACCACAAAGCGGCTGAAAAATATGTGCAGGAATTCAAGGAGTACATAGACAGTGAAGGACTGAAACCTGAATAAGTGTTTAATTGTGACGAAACAGGCCTGTTTTGGAAGAAAATGCCAAACAGGACCTACATTACTCAGGAGGAAAAGGCACTCCCAGGACATAAGCCTATGAAAGACAGGCTCACTCTGTTGATGTGTGCTAATGCTAGTGGTGATTGCAAAGTGAAGCCTTTATTGGTGTATCACTCTGAAACTCCCAGAGTGTTCAGGAAAAACAATGTCCTCAAGGCTAATTTGTGTGTGGTGTGGAGGGCAAACAGTAAGGCATGGGTCACTAGGACTTTTTCTATGACTGGTTACACCATGCATTTGCCCCCAATGTGAAAAATTACCCAATTGAAAAAAAATTAGACCTTAAGTGCCTCCTGGTATCAGACAATGCTCCTGGTCATCCTTCAGACGTGGCAGAGCAACTTTCTGCGGAAATGAGCTTCATTAAGGTTAAGTTTTTGCCTCCTAATACCACTCCTCTCCTGCAGCCCATGGACCAGCAGGTCATTTCCAATTTCAAGAAACTGTACACAAAAGCTATGTTTGAAAGGTGCTTTGTAGTGACCTCAGAAACTCAATTGACTCAAAGAGAGTTTTGGAGAGATCACTTTAGCATCCTCAATTGTGTAAACATTATAGGTAAGGCTTGGGAGGAAGTGACTAAGAGGACCTTGAACTCTGCTTGGAAGAAACTGTGGCCAGAACGTGTAGACAAAAGGGATTTTGAAGGGTTTGAGGCTAACCCTAGGAATCCTATGCCAGTTGAGGAATCCATTGTGGCATTGGGGAAGTCCTTGGGGTTGGAGGTTAGTGGGGAGGATGTGGAAGAGTTGGTGGAGGAGGACAATGAAGAACTAACCACTGATGAGCTGCTAGATCATCTTCAACAGCAAGAGGCCAGACCTGAGGAAACTGCTTCGGAGGAGGGGATAGAGAAATTGAAGAAGTTGCCTACTTCAAAGATTAAGGAAATGAGTGCAATGTGGCTTAAAGTGCAAACCTTTTTTGATAAAAATCACCCTCACACAGCTATTGCAAGCCGTGCTGGTGACTATTACACTGACAATGTTGTGAAACACTTTAGGAATGCCATAAAGGAACGGGAGGTACAGGCCTCTATGGACAGATATGTTGTGCGATAGAGGTCCAGTGACTCTCAAGCTGGTCCTGGTGGCATTAAAAGAAGAAGGGAAGTAACCCCGGAAAAGGAGAAAAGGACTTGCCACCTCAAGTCCTAATGGAAGGGGATTCCCCTTCTAAACACTAACACCATCCACAGTCTCCCCTCCTTCCATCCCATCAATCATCACCAGATCTTCAAAAAAGGTAAGTGTCATGTAACTGTGCATGTCTTCTTCAGTTTGTGTGTATTAAAATTAATATTTCATGTGGTAAAAATGTTTTTTTGTTCATACTTTCGGGTGTCAGGAACGGATTAATTTGATTTCCATTATTTCTTATGGGGAAAATTAATTCGGTTAACGATAATTTCGCCTAACGTTGAGCTCTCATGAACATATTAATAGCGTTAGGCGAGGGTCCACTGTATTTCTACTACTTTGAGCCTAATTTCAAGCTACTTCCATTACTGAAACAATAAAAATCATTTCTATTTTGGTAGTGCCTTCTATTCTGTCAACTGATATCAAGAAACAGTCAATAAAACCATAAAAATCATCCTAGAAAACACTTGGAAGATGCTACTTTAAACCAAACACATCCAACATGCACTGCATGGGGGCAAGATGTTTGTTATACTGTGCTGTGCATACTCACTGCACAGACTCATTCTCTCATATCTAGGGTAAAATTTACTGATCACAGCTTATCTGAGGGAGCTGAGTTCAAAATTTAGATCTATATAAGCAATCCTGCAGCCAATAACATAAACTACAGGGTATTTCACTCATAGGAGGCCCTGAGTATGTATGAGACAGTGAAAGAGTTAAAGGCTAAGAAACAGATTTGTTAGGCATTTAAAAACATAACATTTTTAAATCAATAACTAGTACATAAGTTACATGCCAAAGAAGACACATTACTAACGGTATGGGTGGAAACAACCAAGAACTTCAGCTCTCATGGCAATATTGTTGTTCCATGTCTTAGGTCTGATCTCCAGAAAACGTGCTTGTATGAGTCTGTCAAACTCTGTCTTCACTGGAGTACTTCCATCATAGTTGCCAGGGAAAACCTGAAATAATATTACTGCATCTAATGCAATCAAATCTATACGTATTTACATTTTTGGTACTTACAAAATACCATATTTGTGTAATGGATGTAAAATCATATGTGGAAAACCAATAAAAAAGTTAAAAGGAATGAGGTTCCATGTAAAATTATTTAATAGACAAGATAATGAGTGAGGGACTACCTTATCATTGCCATCTAAGTCCTTTATAGTATTCCAAGTCTCACCATCTGGAGAGTAGCGGACAGTGAAAGATTCAACCCATTCATCAGCACCATCTCGCCCTTGTGTTATCACTCCTGATAACTTACTCGGCTCGACAAAGTCAAACTGTAAAGAAAAAGACTTACAAATTATACATAGTACTTAATTAGACAATATATAGGTAGTAGGTTGGTAGACAGCAACCACCCAGGGAAGTACAGTAGGGCCCCACTTATTCGGCGGGTTAGGTTCCAGGCTGTCGCCGGAAAGCAGACATCGTCGGAAGGCAGAACGCCATTTTTTCCATGTATAAATGCATATAAATGCCAGACAACAAGTTTACACTAAATTATATTAAGTTAGTAATAGAACTAGGCATTAAAAACACACAAAGTAAAATACATTCACAGTACATTTATTACTTATCTTAAAGTATTTGTAATCTTCATGTAGGGAGAGAGATGAGTAGTACTTATATGTAGGAAGTCAGCTGCAGGTAGCCCAGGTGTAGGTAGCCCTGGCTCCCCATCTCATACTTAATATACGATATTTAAAACATCCCAGAGAGGTAAAATACACATACAGTACACTCCTTATTTACCTTAAAATATGTGTAGTCTTAATATAGGAAGAGAGGCAAGTAGTATTTATTTGTAGGAAGTCAGTGCATGTAGCTGGTAGGTGTAGCCCGCCTGGGCTACACCTACCGGCTACCTACACTGTGGCCCAGAGCCATATATTAACATCAACATACCTTGTTCACTGAATTTAATCATTTCTAACAACTACCTTTAGATACCATCATAAACGAAGGGAGAAGTAATGAATAATTCATACCGAAAATTGTAAACAAAAGCGAAGTGGGGGAGTGGCTGGGCCAAACGCAGATTCATACACGTTTTCTCTGATGGCTGAGCAGAGAAAACGCAATGTTGTCCCTCCACCCGGCTACCACACAGCTCTACAAGTATTATTATCAGAGCACATATAAAATACGCAATAAATGCCAGACAACAAGTTTACACTAACTTATATTAAGTTAGCAATATTATTATTATTATAATCAAGGGGGAAGCACTAAACCCATAGGATTATACAGCACCTGGGGGGATGTAGAAGGCATTCAGGCTTAATTTGGGGAACTGGAGAACAGATCCAATTCCCTAAATCAAGAGTCCCTCACCAACATCAAAGTTAGCAATAGAAATAGGCATTAAAAATACAATAAAAGGTAAGATACACACAGAGTACACTTATTACGTACCTTAAAATATTAATATTAATGTGTGAGAAGTGAATGGCAGGGTGTTTATTAAATAAAACCAGAATGGCACACCATCATCCTCTAACTTGGCACCTAAAGCAAGAGGCTTACGACTTCTCTTTTTATCACAGCTAACCTTAGACGCCATCGTCAATGAGAGCCAACTAGTTAACGAAAGAGTAAACGAGAGAGAGAATGAGATACAGAGTTGAGACAATGTAAGAACACAAACTGAACAGGTAGTGGGCGATCACTTGGTCAGGCGAAATAAATGCGTATTAATATGTGTCTACTTTTAGTTCATTCGCGTACGTTTGTAAGAGTTTGTAAAACATTTACCTCAATATTTTTTTTATTATAATAATAATTACCTCACAATACAAATACTCTTATATTGTGTACAAGTTAGTACAGAATAAACAAACAGCAACACACCATTTTTAGAATGAATGAAGATAATAATAATAATAATAATAATAAATCTATAGGGGAAGGAAAGAGGGGTAGGGGTCGTCCTCGAAAGGGTTGGAAAGAGGGGGTAAAGGAGGTTTTGTGGGTGAGGGGCTTGGACTTCCAGCAAGCGTGCATGAGCGTGTTAGATAGGAGTGAATGGAGACGAATGATACTTGGGACCTGACGATCTGTTGGAGTGTGAGCAGGGTAATATTTAGTGAAGGGATTCAGGGAAACCGGTTATTTTCATATAGTCGGACTTGAGTCCTGGAAATGGGAAGTACAATGCCTGCACTTTAAAGGAGGGGTTTGGGATATTGGCAGTTTGGAGGGATATGTTGTGTATCTCTATACGTATATGCTTCTAAACTGTTATACTGTATTCTGAGCACCTCTGCAAAAGCAGTGATAATGTGTGAGTGTGGTGAAAGTGTTGAATGATGATGAAAGTATTTTCTTTTTGGGGATTTTCTTTCTTTTTTTGGGTCACCCTGCCTCGGTGGGAGACGACCGACTTGTTGAAAAAAAAAAAAAAAAAAAAAATAATAATAATAATAATAATAATATTATTATTATTATAATAAAAAGCACTAAACCCACAAGGGTCATTAATTGCTATATATAGAGTAAAGGCATACAAAAAGAATATTTTTCTACAGTTATCCTCCAGTTTGACTAGAGAAAACATAATTCTTCTGACACTACCTACACAGCTGCTTTGTAAACAAATCTCATATTTATGTTAATTTTTATTCTGTGAGTGCATGTATCATGTTTATATGCTATGTAACAGGTTTCATATATAATTCTGAGGAAAATATCATAGATGGATTAATGAAAATGCCTATAATAATGTAAAATAAGACATTTAGTGTGCCCAAGAGTGATTATTATTACGTAGTACATGTATTGGCGTCATGAGTAGAGAGAGAATTAGCGATTTTAATGTGTACCTACACACCAGCACAGTGTGTAAGTATATTTAGGTACAGGTACACATAAGTATAATTATCAGTGTACATATAAAATACGCAGTAACTTTAAAACACTTGAAATTTTGGAAAATTTCCTGACATAATAGATGTGGTCACGGAGAATGTAAACAAACCGGGTAGGTGGCGCTATATTTGAAAGACCGCTTGCCGTATAGCAAATTTTGGTCAGAATTTGACATCGCCATATTAGTGGAATGCCGTAAGGCGAAACGCCGTAAAGCGGGGCCCTAGTGTACTACTTCCTGCCAGATGACTGTGAAAAATAAACCTGTAACTGTTTTACATGATGGTAGGATTGCTGGTGTCTTTTTCTGTCTCATAAACACGCTAGAAAACAGGGATATCTTACTACTCCTACTTACACTTTGGTCACACTTCACAGACATGCACATGCATATATATATTATATATATATATATATATATATATATATATATATATATATATATATATATATATATATATATATATATATATATATTATATATATATATATTATACAGTGGACCCCCGGTTAACGATTTTAATCCGTGCAAGAGGGCTCATCGTTATGCGAAATAATCGTTATGCGAATGAATTTTCCCCATAAGAAATAATGGAAATAAAATTAATCCGTGCAAGACGCCCAAAAGTATGAAAAAAATTTTTTTTTACCACATGAAATGTTAATTTTAATACACACAAACTGAAAAAGGCATGCACAATTAAATGACACTTACTTTTATTGAAGATCTGGTGATGATTGATGGGATGGGAGGAGGGGAGAGAGAGTGTTAGTGTTTAGAAGGGGAATCCCCTTCCATTAGGACTTGAGGTAGTAAGTCCTTTTCTGGGGTTACTTCCCTTCTTTTTTTAATGCCACTAGGGCCAGCTTCAGAGTCACTGGACTTCTTTCGCACAACATATCTGTCCATAGTGGCCTGTACCTCTCGTTCCTTTATGACTTGCCTAAAGTGTTTCACAACATTGTCAGTGTAATAATCACCAGCACGGCTTGCAATAGCTGTGTGAGGGTGATTTTCATCCATGAAGGTTTGCACTTCAAGCCACTTAGCACAGATTTCCTTTATCTTTGTAGTAGGCAACTTCTTCAATTTCTCTGTCCCCTCCTCTGAACCAGTTTCCCCAGGTCTGGCCTCTTGCTCTTGAAGTTGATCTATCAGCTCATCAGTGGTTAGTTCTTCATTGTCCTCCTCCACCAACTCTTCCACATCCTCCCCACTAACCTCCAACCCCAAGGACTTTCCCAATGCCACAATGGATTCCCAACTGGCATAATCATCTCAGGGTTAGCCTCAAACCCTTCAAAATCCCTTTTGTCTACACATTCTGGCCACAGTTTCTTCCAAGCAGAGTTCAAGGTCCTCTTAGTCACTTCCTCCCAAGCCTTACCTATAAGGTTTACACAATTGAGGATATTAAAGTGATCTCTCCAAAACTCTCTTAGAGTCAGTTGAGTTTCTGAGGTCATTACAAAGCACCTTTCAAACAGAGCTTTTGTGTACAGTTTCTTGAAGTTGGAAATAACCTGCTGGTCCATGGGCTGCAGAGAGGGAGTGGTATTAGGAGGCAAAAACTTCACCTTAATGAAGCTCATGTCCCCATAAAGTCGCTCTGCCACTTCTGTATTATGACCGGGGGCATTGTCTAACCCAGGAGGCATTTAAGTTCTAATTTTTTTTCCGTTAGGAAATTTTTTCCACATTGGGGGAAAAATGCATGGTTAACCAGTTTTTTAAAAAAATTTCCCTAGTGCCCCATGCCTTACTGTTTGCCCTCCACAGCACACCAAATTTTTCCTTGGGACATTTTTTTTTGCCTAAACCCGCTCGGGATTTTTCAGAGTGATAAAATAAAAAAAGGCCCTTCACTTTCCCAACACCATTAGAAATTGGCAAAACATCAAAAAAGAAACCCTGTTTTTTTCTTGGCTTATGCCCGGGGAGTCCCCTTTTCCTCCTGGGGGAATTTGTAGGCCCTGTTTTGGAAATTTTTCTTCCAAACAGGCCTTTTTTTTTCATCACAATTAAACACTTGTTCAGGTTTCAGCCCTTTCAGTTTCTATGTACCCCTTTGAATTCCCCCACATATTTTTCGGGCCGTTTTTGTGGTCCGAACTGGCAGCCTCACCATGCCCCTTTACCACTAAGGATGCCCCTACGCTTTTTTTAAATCTCTCAAACCAAACCCTTTTCGGGGCCTTTAAAAATTTTACTCACATCATCACTATTTTCAGGGATTTTTTTAATTAAATCCTCATTTCCCAAAATTTTAGCCCTTTTTACATATGAAACGCTTTGGGGGACGCTTCTCCCGCTATTGTTTTTCTTTATCCCCCCCAATTTAAAAGGGCTTCAACTTTCCATCACTTTTCGATCTTTGTTTCCCAAAACACATTGAACCTTTTTGGGAAA